AATAAATTCTCAAGGAATTGAAAATGTAATTATCAAATTAATAATTAATTATAGTTGCCTACAGCACTCTAAGGGTTAAAACAACCTGTCAAATATTGTGCGGCTCCCCCCCTCATGCCACAACAACAGCTCTGTCAAACTGAAGGCCACTTAAATTCCCATACCCAAGGTTTCCCAGGAGAATACTTCCTAAAGCATCACATTCCCAACGTCAGCTGCTCTTCTTCTCACAGTGCATCCCAGTGCCATCCCTCCCCCAGGCGAATAATGCACACGTTTCAGCGACGCACATGTAAAGGGAAATGGGACTCACTTGACCAGGCGACCTTCTTCAATTCTGACTTTCAAGTGCACGCTACAGGCACTTTCTGTGGCGAATAGGGGTCCGAATGGACACTCTGGCTGGTCAGAGGCTGCAAAGCCTTATGTGCAGAAGGGTGAGATATACTGTGTTGTGACACATTCCACATGTGAGTATCATTAAAATTCTCTGTGACTTGTGCCACAGTACCATTTCTGTTAGTTTGGACCATACGCAATAGCTTTCCTTGTACTCATGCATCGATGAGCCTTGGGCCCCAAAAACCCTGTAATGGGGTTCATGGTTTGTACCTCCTAGGACCACGGTCACAGTCAGTCTTAAGGAGTGATTTTGCACGCACCATGGCGCGCCTAAAAAAATTGAGGTTAGGAAAAAAGCGCGCACCTCACAAAAACAAAGCTCAAAAAAAAAAAAAAAAAAAAATGTGCACCTCGTGGAAACTATACTGGTTCCGTCTCCATCGTTACACTCCGCTGGTAGACATTCCGTATGATACAGAACGGTAGCGCCAACATGTTACGCTACAGAATCCACAGGCATGGTTTGTGAATGCAGCCAACCAGCAACTACCATTTCTGATCGTGATTCACTGATTCTTTTGAGCCATGTTAGGTTAAGCAGCTATTGAGCTAAGCCCCTGTAATGCAACTAACAATTTCATAATGCTGACGATTTTGTTTTCATTTTATTCTTTCTTTAAATGTAGATAAAAATGTTTCAATAAAAAAAATGTCAATTTCTTTGGTAAATCTGCACTTTGTTTCTTTATTCTCAGGATAGACTCCTATTTGGCCGATACAGCTGCATTAAGAGATTTAAGCTTATATTGGAGAACAGGTTCTAGATGCTTCTCAAAATCTCAGCGTGTTTTGTGTAAGAGGTTAACTAAGTTTAAACTTGTTATGCATCAGTATGGGCCCTGTAACTCAGAATGAATCTATCTAGGAGCAACATGCCCATCATAGCAAAGAAGTTCCTTGCGAAAAATGCAGTGGACATCCGATCTTTTCATTCCTTTGGTTGCCCCAGCCTTGGAACGAGCCACGAGGGCCACAAAAAAGCTTGCCTTGAATTCCTAGGAGAGCTTTTAGCCATTCGCCTGGAAATTTTAAAAGACAGTGACTGCTGTCAGTAGGTGCTCACTGCTGACAGAAAGCACCCCAGAAGCTTTTCTGCTTCAAAGATGCTTTGACTCACTTGTCCGGCCGTAAGGGATTAACCCTCGTCAAAATCACTCAGGACCCATTTCTCCCACAGCCAACGAGCTGACTACTGTAAACGACTGCTTGCTTACCGGCTAAGGTCTGTCTATAGTCCTTGACGTGTAATTGTTACGAGATAATCAAGACTCTTTGCTTAATCTGTGAGCAGTTTTATTGTTTTGGCTCATCGGTATATCACTGTGCTCAGGTCATGAGGATAGCATGAGGATGAGTCGACCAGTGACATGTGAACGACATTAGCATTAGCACAAACTCAACAGCTGGTTTGTCCCTCGGAAGCGAAAAAAAGGTGCGCTCAACTCCAAAAATATAAGAGACACGTTTCTGGGTGCGTTAAAAGGGAAAACTTAATGAATAACGAAAAACGCACTCACAAGATTATCGTCTTCTGGTTTTCATTGGAAGCAGTGACTGCTTCCAATAAACCACAGAAGACGATCATCGTGTGAGTGCATTTTTCGTTATTCATCGTCTCTCGGAAGCCAATCATAAACAAGCATATTTGCATACTTTTGTGACATCACAACATCAGTCGTACAGCATTGAGCTGCATAAAACCTCCAGAAAAGAGAAAAGGAGAGAGAGGGAGAGAAAGAAAGAGGGAGGGAAAGAGAGAGGGCTTTTCAGTCATGGTTATGTAAGGTCTTTCCGCCCTGTTGGCACGAGGCAGATGGACTCCAGCACAGGGCTGATTAACTGCTGATAGTGACACAGCACTTCTACTGCACCTCCACTGCACTTAAAGTGAGAAACTGAGACAGCACTCGTACACGGGCAGACTCCCTCTCTCACTCACACACACACACACACACTCTCACCACTCTCATACACACATATATTGTGCCCCACACACATATACACACACACTCTCTCACACAAACATTCCCCCTCTCACACAGACGCACAATGACTTAGATACACATACACTCTCATGCACACAGCTCCACACAAACTGGCACAAACAAACACACACCTGCTCACACCATTCTCAGCCTAGTACAAGGCCCAGTAAACAGCAGTCAGTATTCAGCTGAGGTCAAAGTACATTCAATGCTGCTTCAGTAAAAAAACTACTTTGCCCCGTTCATTCACCTTGACAAGGCCTTTGTGGTGGTGAACACACCCTGCAAGGGTTTTCAAGCAGGTGAACACACTCTGTAAAGCCTTTTGTACAACTGAACACACCAAATAAAACTCTTCATATAGGTGTAAACTGTACACACCCTCTACGTCCTTTCATACAGGTGAACACACCCTGTAAGGCTTCTCAGATAGGTGAACACACCCTGTAAAGCCTGATGTACAGGTGAACACACCCTGTAAAGCCTTTCGTACAGGTGAACACACTCTTCGTATCCTTTCAGACAGCTAAATGTACCCTGTAAGGCCATGGATACAGGTGAACAGTGAACACCCTGCAAGACCTTTCAAACATGTGAACACGCCCTGCAAGGCCTTTAGTACAGGTCACACACCCTGCAAACTCTTTAAAACTGGTGAACACACCCATTCTATCCTAACATACAGCAGAATGCACCATGTAATGCCCTTCATGCATGTGAGCACAGCTATGGAGCCTCTCACAGAGGTGAACACCATGAACAATCTCTCCAGGTCCCTCAGATTCTGAGGTCGATACTTGTGCACTCTCCTCCAGATTTTCTAAAACGTTTAGGTCCGGAGACTGATAGCCATTGCAAAACCATTTTTCTGCAGTCAATGACCCATTTTTGTTTTGATTTTGAGGTGTTCTTTGGATCATGGTCCTGCTGAAAGGTCCAACCATGGCCCATCTTAAGCTTCCTGGCAGAGACTGTTAGGTTTTCATTTAATATTCGCTGGCATCTGATGGGGCCTCGATACCATGCGTCCTAACTATCCGAACACTGAGCTATTTTCCGATGCTGGTTTTGGTTAAACACAATGCATTTGCATATATGGCCAAAGGTCGCCTCTTTTTCAACCACCAGAGGGCTTCCTCAGAGCTTCATCTCAGGTCCATCTCTTTTTTTTATTAATACAAACAATCTTAATCCAACTTTAAATATGACACCGCATCAAACACAGGAGTTGGGTGTGAGACAGAAAATCTGGGTTATGAAAGCCTGATCTATTAGTCTCATAATAATGGCACCGCTCCGCATTCACCCGCATCAATTATTAACAATATTAGCATCAATAGTGCTCATCTCCAATTCACAAACATTCAGAGCACTAAAAGCCAAGCCCTACATCCACTGGCCCCGCTTCTGTGACAACAAACCCCTCCCACCCCACACACTCATATACTCATTCACCCAACATTCTCTCATGCACATACACTCATGCACAAGGATGTATTAATGAGGGTCAAACGGCAGAAGGACATGAAGACAAAGCAGACACACCCACCTGATCGAACTGTGCATCCTCCCCCCTTTGGAGAGAGCGGGAGAGAGGCTTCTCCTGAGAGAGAGAGAGAGAGAGAGAATGTGAGAGACGGACATAAACCAAACTTTTGCACACAATCCGACAGTGCTACAAAAGAGCGTCACGGTTCACAAAAATCATGCTTCAGTCATTGCTGGCTGATGGGTGCATGTGCCTGTTGTGCACACTCAGATGGACTCATACAAACACACAGACGCTGTGCATGTGCATGCACATGCGTTTGTGTATGTGCGCATGAGCTCGTGTGTAGTATGCATTTGCGTGCATTTGCGTGCATTTGCAAGCACATTTATGTTTCAGCACGTCTACATTTCTGTGTACGCATCCATGTATACTTGCTGATGAGCGCACGTGTATTTGCATGAGTGAGTGGGTACTAGTGTGCGTAAAAGAATTTTTTTGTTGCCACGTGCATGCAAATTTGCGCATTTATGCGTGGATCCTTGCATGTTTGCGAGAGCAAGGGCGGGTACACGTAAGCGTGCACATGGGTATTTGTGCAGGAGTGCATTTCAGTGTATGCTCACACTTCAGCATCAGTGTGTATGTGCATGTATGCGCGTGTGGGCATAAGGGTCCATGCATGCACGCGTGAATTTGCTTGCATGCAAACATGCATTTTTGCGAGCGTGTATGTTTGCAGTATGGGCATGGAAGTTTACATGTATGCCCACATGTATACGTCCATGTCTGTGCGCACGTGTATTCATGTGTATGTGTGTACGTGTACTCATGTGTACGTGTATTCATGTGTATGCGCATGTATGTGTATTCATGTGTGTGTGCGCGCATGAGTATTTAGTTACGTGCATGTGCACGCATGCATTTGCTTGTACCCGCACAAGTGTGTTGTTTGCGCACGCGCATGTATTCATGTGCATAACTGCGTGTCATTTGGCGCACGCACTTGTATATTTGCTTGTATGTACATGTGTGTTTACTTGTATGGATGCGTGTGTATATTTGAGTGTATGCCAGCGTGTGCACTTGCGCACTTGTGCATGGCAGAATGACAGCACTGCAGAGGCACAGTGGTGCAGTGGTTAGCACAGTTGCCTCGCAATAAGGAGGCTCTGAGTTAAAGCCCCAGCCTGCTAGGACCTCTCTGTGCGTAGTCGGGATGTTCCTGCGGTTGTCTGCTCAGATGTAAACAAATGCCACCAATCTTATTGGATGGCATTTCATCATCCAACAAGACAATGACCAGAAACATACTGCAAGAGTAAGGAAGAGGATTTTGATGGCCTGTAAGTGTATTATACCGGACCGGCCAATAACAGGGGCTGGATCTGAATCCAACTGAAGCTGCATTTAAGATGCTGAAGAGGAGACTGAAGGCCAAAAGTCCCAGAAACAAGCTGAATGGGAACACTCTCAAATTAAAGCAGTCAGTCTGCACTTCAACCTCATAGTCATTTCATTCTTTCAAACTCAAAGTGCTAGTGTGCAAAACCAAAAAAATAAACACGTGGCGCCAGGCACAACACACCCCACCCAAGGGATACGTCTTTCTGCTTTGGGTGCTGAACGACCTGGGACCTCTGACATTCGACCCCTACTGCTAACAAGCCTAATGACATTACATTCAAGTGTAGCATAAAGCAGAACTGAAAAATGCTCCTTTAGAATCCAGTTACACGTTGATCGGAGCAGATTTAAGGAAATTATTGCGAAAAACGTTTTCAGTTTTTCGGTGACCTTGACCCAGACCCAATTAGGTCCAAACTTTGATCAATCCATCGATCGTTGCACAGCTTTCCTGAGAATTTTGTGTACTTTAGTAAACTATTTTTCTGCTACACTGCTAATAAATACGCAAATAGAAAAATTAACAGAAACAAATGCACCGAAAACAATACCCCTCCATCTTCGAGCGGGGTAAAAATGAGTCACTGTCCAATGAATTATGGTGTATATACAGTATCAGTCAAAAATTTGGACACACTTGGCTAATGTCACAGCACTCTGTTTTCTGAGAAATGTAAACGGCTTAACTTCTCTACATATCTCAAATGGAATCTGGTAAGAGGTAAACAGTCAGAAGTCAAAAGAAAATTATTGACTTGTTTGAATAGTGTACAAAATTTTGGAATTCTCAGAGAAGCCATATTGTGCTAAGTAAACAGACAAACAAGCTGCTTCCATTTTCCAATGGTTGAATTATAGTCAAGCTGTTTTGGGTTTTTTGGGGCAAAAAGGTCGATCAAAAGCAAACCGCAAGTGCAGCACATCTTTGGGAACTTACAGTCGCTCAGCTGCAAACATATCATTGTCATATGGCTGTCCTTGTAAAAAAAAAAAAAAATTGAAAATATGCTTAGCAATTATGACAAAAGCTGGTTAGCTTTATGGATTTAAGAATTAATTCTGTTTTGCAAAATAAAGGGTGCTCATTTCTTTTTTTGACATGTATTGCAAGAAAAATGTGGATATGTCCATCATTTTGACTGGTACTTTATATTTACATGCGTGTGACCGCGTGCGTGCGTGTGTGAGAGTGCGCATGGAAGGGTTTTCCTGTGAGTTAGTGTGCCAAAAGGCAGCATTACCCATATTGCTGTGCACTGCATATAAAGCCTGGAGCTCCATATCTGGGCCTGTGTGTCATCAGCAATACTGCCACACCTCTGCCTCCCAATAGGCCAGTGCAATCATAAGGAGGCCTGTGACTGGCTGGATCCAAGTACTGAGCCCTCTCTGTACCCGCAGTGAAAGCACAGGGCTGACAGGGCCATTGTGTATAAACATGGTCACGCGCCTAACTCCAATGAGTCACACTGCAAGCCTGTGTAACAGGACACCAAACACACAAAAACTGCAGAGCGCTGCAGGCAACCATGTACAGCGATTTCCCATTCTGCCACTAGAGGGAGCAAACTATGCTCCTGACACTAGAGGAAAAAGCTATCAATACCACTAACCATAGAACTAGCTATACACCACACACTGGATAAACAGAGCCATCTGTACCCCTCACACTGGTTAGACAGAGCGATCTCTACCCCTCACACTGGAAAGACAGGGCCATCTATACCCCTCACACTGGAAACACTGGGCCATCTATACCCCTCACACTGGAAAGAGAGCCATCTATGCCCCTCACACTGGAAAGACAGAGTCATCTATACCCCTCATACTGGAAAGACAGGGCCATCCATACCCCTCATACTGGAGGGACAGAGCCATCTATACCCCTCACACTGGAAACACAGGGCCATCCATACCCCTCACACAGGAAAGAGAGGGCCATCTATACCCCTCACACTGGAAAGAGAGAGCCATCTATACCCCTCACACTGGAAAGAGAGAGCCATCTATACCCCTCACACTGGAAAGAGAGAGCCATCTATCCACCTTATTCCCACGTCCCATGATCCCTTGCGTGAAAAGTGTGCGTAACTTCCGCTGCATCCTGTCACTGAGCTGTTTACTATGGTAGCGGCTCACGCAAATTCTCTTTTTTTAAGCGATTGGAAAATAATATATGAGGGAACATCACCTTTTAGCCCTCAGACGGGATAAAGTTACGGTACCGCTGCCTTCTACTATCGAAGAATGGGAGAACGACCTGAAGCAGTGGCCACACTAGCGCGTTTGGCTACATTAGTGACTCCGTTGCCACAGACTGCGAAGCTATGAACAATCTACAAAGCTCCGAAGCGTATGCAGTACTTCCATAGCAACAAGGTCAGTCGCGTTTTGTTAAAGGAGGTAGTATACGACCTTATGTACCTTAAAACAGATATACAAGTACTTTCTGAGAATATTTATAAAGGAAACGCTATTTCAGCGGTAAATATTGCTCTACATATGAAACGTGATGGATTGTTATACAGAGTAAATTAAGCCATCCGACAGTACGAGTCAAATTAGCTCTACTCCAGCCAACTACATTATACGGTATTAAGTTGCTAGCTAATCCAATACTATAACATGTAAAAACACAGTGAATCCATTTTTCCCATACTTTTAATTTTAGTGAAATGAGGTTTGGAGTGCAAGACTATTGTTTGGAACAGAGTAAGCTATTTTCAAATTGTAGTAGACTATTGCTACTTCTACAGCCACATCTTAAACTATACAGGATGAAACGTTAGTTACACTCACTGGCATTACCGGACGAATACAACAATTTTCTGTCCTCTCTACACGTGAAATCATACCTTGTGCTCTCCTGGCACTGCTGTCAAAATGCTTCTGAGGACCCGGCGTCTCCTCTGCGGCAGTCTGTCTGAGCTTAGCCTTAAAGTTGGAATCGTTGTTGGTCGACATAATGAAATGAGCACCTAATGTTTTCGGAGGTCTTTTCAAATTCAGGTTTTCAGCCAAATTCTGGCTTCCTCTTCTGTAGGTAGGTGATGGAAACTGTTTTGCTGAACACAAGGACAATCCCCTATGTTCTGGGTGCATGTTCAAAACACTGTTGATCAAACCATAAATTTAGCTTCCTCTGGTTGTTAGTTCAGCCTCGAACAGCACAATAGGTGCCGGAGCTCTGAAGGGACATTTTAAGAAAAGCAAGTTAATTTGTTAAAAAAAACGAGCTGTAATCGCAAAGTTAACTGAAAGAAACGCCGCTGTTCTTGACTAAAACTAATGATAAAAACTATTTCCGCCGGAAGTTGCACCCCTCATCATATCTACAGTAGCGCCCTCAGGAATAAGGTGGATACCCCTCACACTGGAAACAGAGAGCCATCTATACCCCTCACACTGGAAAGACAGGGCCATCTATACCCCTCACACTGGAAACACAGGGCCATCTATACCCCTCACACAGGAAACACAAGGCCATCTATACCCCTCACACTGGAAAGAGAGAGCCATCTATACCCCTCACACTGGAAAGACAGAGTCATCTATACCCCTCATACTGGAAAGACAGAGCCATCTATATCCCTCACACTGGAAAGAGAGAGCCATCCATACCCCTCACACTGGAAAGACAGAGTCATCTATACCCCTCATACTGGAAAGACAGAGCCATCTATACCCATCACACTGGAAAGAGAGAGCCATCCATACACCTCACACTCTAAAGAGAGAGCCATCTATACCCCTCACACTGGCAAGACAGGGCCATCTATACCCCTTACACTGGAAAGACAGGGCCATCTATACCCCTCACACTGGAAAAGACAGGGCCATCTATACCCCTCACACAGGAAACACAAGGCCATCTATACCCCTCACACTGGAAAGAGAGAGCCATCTATACCCCTCACACTGGAAAGACAGGGCCATCTATATCCCTCACACTGAAAAGAGAGAGCCATCCATACCCCTCACACTGGAAAGACAGAGTCATCTATACCCCTCATACTGGAAAGACAGAGCCATCTATACCCATCACACTGGAAAGAGAGAGCCATCCATACACCTCACACTCTAAAGAGAGAGCCATCTATACCCCTCACACTGGAAAGACAGAGCCATCTATACCCCTCATACTGGAGAGACAGTCATCCATACCCCTCACACTTGAAGAGTCATCTAGACCGTACATACAGTACACGCACACACAGGATACGAAGGTCAACTCACCAGAGGCTCAGCCATGACCACATCAATCTTTTTCTCGGCGAGCACGGCAAAGTCCGCAAAGAGGCTTTTAATGACGTACTCGCCGGGCTTAAGCTCGGGGTCGATGGTGATGTTCGACATGGCGGCGCTGCGTTTCTCCCCGGAGGGGGCGTGGCCTGCAGTTACACGCCGTCTACTCACAGTGCTCACTGGTGCCGAAGCTGAGAGAGAGAGATATTACAGTCACCATCAAGGAATAACATTCCCACAAACACTATGCATCAGATAACACTCACATAACATCATGAGGTAACATTCCGCACAGACTCAAAACATTCACAAAAAACTAATCACATACTGGGAATCTGTGCAGTGGAGGTATTAAGGGAATCTGTGCAGTGGAGGCATTAAGGGAATCTGTGCAGTGGAGGCATTAAGGGAATCTGTGCAGTGGAGGTATTAAGGGAATCTGAGCAGTGGAGGCATTAAGGGAATCTGTGCAGTGGAGGTATTAAGGGAATCTGTGCAGTGGAGGTATTAAGGGAACCTGTGCAGTGGAGGTATTAAGGGAATC